AAGTCTGGGTCCTCCGGAGGACCCGGCCTGTCGTTTTGGACACAGCCACTGTGTCCCTTTAAAAAAACACCTTGGTCACCTAGCTAAGTCTAGCGCTGCCCTTGGCGATATACCTTCATTCAAGGAATGTTTGGCCTTTAATTATTATAACTCCCAAGATCCGAAAGGTACTATACATTATTTTAGTCTATTTGTGATTTAAAAAATAATAAATATGTGTTAAATATTTCTGTATTTGTAAGTTTTTCGATGTTTGCATGTTTGTCATGGTAGAAAACAAAGGGTCACTTCTCTGTTTGACAGGTTTGCCCACAGGTAAAACACAACAGCTACACGTTTCAGCTGAGGTGGTTGGATGTGTTTTCAGGTGAGAGCATGGCATGGGGATGTTTTGTACAAGTTGAATAAAGACAGAGTTACAGTCTATTTGAAACTGGGTCATCTGATTTTGTTCCATTTTAAGTTTTTTTTTTTCTTTCTTTCTTGGTCATAATCGAGGTTATGGGAAAGTTGTTGATTTCTAAAACCAATTTATTTGACAAAAAGAAGAAATTTAATGTCGCGAGCAGATTCTCGCTGCGTGCCCTMCCCGCTTCAAGTGTTTTCCCTGAACTATTTCTCTCCCCCTTCTCTGTCATCCTACACTCTGCCCGCCCTCCTCCTCATTCTGTTGTGCAGAACGCAGTTACTAAGGCCTGGGTTGGTTTTACGTTTGCCAGGCCATACAGTAAAAACTCTCAAARGAACTCAACTACTAATAATCTTTTCAGTCTTCCAGGTAGATTTTATCATTGTTGCCATTTGAAAGTATATTTTGATATTGTTTATTTAGATATTATATTTTATTTATATTTATTGTACATTGTGTTTTTTATAATTTTATTTAAAGGTAGGCCTACTCATTGCAAAGTAGGAAATCAAACAAAAAATGGTTATCTTGAACTATATCACATGGTGCAGTTTGGATGAGTTTACTCCTGTATTCTTCCAAATATATTAATGTTATTCTGAAGTGTGGGTATGCACATGATGTAAATAAAAATTGCTGCTACTATGTCGGAAATCCATTTGACCCAAATGGCTACTTTTTCAACAAATATGAGCATAAATAAATACAAGTACATAAAATGTGTCATACTCATTGATTCCAAATGGTTCTTCCATAAATATCACCATTGTTGACCTATATTCAGTGACTTTGGCTCTGCCCAAAGGTAAACAGATGCACGTGATATTTGGCAGCTGTTTAACATTTGCYTTCAAATGTTTTATTTTAGGACAGAATTACAACTTATATGGAAAACAACTTGTGTGGGTTTTAAAATTTACTTAGTGGTTTTATTACCAGTCCTTAAGACATTGTAATACATTTAAATGAATGCTAAATTAAAAAAATAATAATAAAGTGAGAATTTTCAAATTATAGTAGAGAAAATAGGTAAGCAAATGAAAAAATACAAACTTAACTACACATGTGCAATAAGCCAATTTAACATTTGGTATTAAAAAAACTATTAAAGGTTATTCAGTTTAAGTTAGGAATGWTCCACCATGAGTTGTGCTGAAAGCAAAATAATGTTAAAGCTACACGTTTATAAAGTTGTTTGTAATAAACTGAACAAAACAAAAAGCAGACTCACCAACCAAACTATTAAATGATGTCAGCGGGCATGTCGTAACCCCCCCCTCTGCCAGCCTTCTTCAGCACACAGAGAAAGTGAGCGTCAAAAGAAAAAAAAGGGCGGACCAAAGCAATATCCTGTTCGTCTATTGGTTTATACCGCTGACAATCAACTACTTTCACTTTCCTATTGGCTAGCGTCTTTCGCATTTATCGTGCCATCTCGTCAAGCTGCTGCTGTGTAATAGCAGGTAACTTTCTTACGATAGCCTTCCGCTGGACGACCTAGTGCTCGGAAATACCATTCGCTTTAGAAAATACACGCATTCGGTGTGAGAATTACATATTTCGGTGTCTTCGAACACGGCAGGAGGTTAAAGTCGTATTTTCGATTTCTCTAAATAGAACCCGTTCTCTCCGTGGCTGTTTGAAATCGGACACCGCTGGCGTTGAGACCCCTCCGTTTTTTTCTTTTTCATAGCGGAGGGATACTCTGTTACGTCTGACAATGTGGACGGAGGTGGTGAAGATGTCTACGAGAAGAATGAAATCATCTCAGTTGTAACAACAACAAAAAAAAAGGGACGACGAGAGATTAGTTACTATAATAGATTTGTTTGCACTCAGACTTTGATACGTTGAAGCAAACACGTGGGCGCTGCGTGGAAAAAACGGGCTTTCCGGGACAAAAGAAAAAGACATCCACTGTGTTCTAATGCGTTTCATGCGCTGAGCTCGAAATTGTCTTGAAGTTTTATGTTTTTCCCCTCGCGAGTCTCTCCGCTTTTCTTTTTACCGCTGGATACCAGGCAGTTGGAGAGGAGAGGTAAAAACACCATCTTACACTTCACGTTTCAGTGGGGGGAAGCTGCATGAATTTAACCGGGTTTATTTTTGTATTTGATGCTTGCAATTGTAGAAAAGTTTTTTTTAAGGGGGGGAATGTGTGGTTAAAAAAAAACGGGGGATGTTAAGGTCTCTCTTTTTTTTTTTTTTGTCTGGTTTGAGGTGGCGAGCCAAGTGTGTGACGGTCTCCGGCAGGAAATTACTCCTTTGTTCTGAGAAAAGAGGGGGAAAAAAGACTAAATTAAGGTTGTTGTTGTCGGCTAACGAGCCTCGGTTTGTTTAACTAGCTCCAGTGAAAATATTAAACAGTATTGTGTGGAGCTAGCTACCATTTAAGCTAAAGTTCGCGCGTGCATTTTTCCATACGAACGTGAAACAAAGTTTCCATAAAAACCCCTCTTGGTAAGCACTCTTCAAATGGACGTGTCTGACCACCAGCTAGACTTATTTTATTGCACATTTGGCAGGAAATTCCTCCTGCTCCCACCCCCCACCGTCTCCCCTCATAATGCACGACTTGAACCCTAATAATAATCAGGTTTAAAAAATAAAAAGTCACAAAAATTGCTGCTAGAAGTTTGAATCCTTGCTGTTGATCTCCAGACGTCCTAGGTGATGTTTTACCCAGAGAAGGCATGATTAAAAGTTTTATTGTTTTTTTTTTATTTTGATCAGTCGATGTCAACATAGCTTATGAAAAAGACTTGGGATGGTGTTCAGAAGTAGTTTGGCTCTGGATGGGGCCTATCAAATGCACAGCTTATTCCTTGGTGTCCAGTAGTTTTCCTGGCATTGTTGTGGACTTGTTTAGCCCGAGTGTTTGTGCGTGTTTTTAGGATTGTTTTTGGTGAGTTGAATCAACAGTTTGTTATTGCATTTTGCTGGCACTTTTTTTCCTACTGCATTGTAACTATTCAGGACTTTAATGGACTATAATAAGCACAKAACTGCACTTACTATTTAAGCTTATTGTAATTTATAAAAATAATCATTCATAGTTGACATCTACACTTAAGCTGGCTTTTTTTTWAAATATCAGGAATTAAAGCTGTTTCTTAGGCTGGTGTAAAAGTAAGGCATTTCTTAGACCTGTGGTTTGTTTTCCTGGGGGTCTTTTTGTGCACAAGGACCTGTGTTTTCTGCTTTGTGTGGGGGTGACAAAGACCCCCTAATCTGCTTGCTTGAAATATTGATCCAGCAGTAGCTGAAGATGCCATTTTGTTTCATAAAGCCCCCCCTCCATGTGCTCTACTCAGTTTAACTCTTAGGTAGATTGTGTTGGAAGTTTAAAGTTTATTAATTATGTTTTCCTTCTTATTATAAGGTTTTAGAGACATGTTAGAGATATGTTGCGTATGTTTCACCAACTCCAGGGTTGAGTTAGATCAGTTTCACTTGAGGCTGCTCTGAAGTCATTAAAAAATTGTCACTTTTCCTGCAGAAATGAAAATGCCCCAGTTCACCAACACGTGCATCTTTCTAAAAACCTTGTTTTGGTTAGTTTCTAACTGCACCAGTAAACGCGACGTGCTCTCCTGAATGACAAAAGAGGCTGTAAAAGCACACCACCTGTTGGTGTCCAAGKGCCTCCATTCTTCCACTTGCTCCCATCAACATCAGTTCCCAAAGCTCACAGAACCGCTGCTCGGTTTCAGAGAGCGGCCTCGGGCTCAAGCTGCAATGCGAAGCCCGGAGTAAATCCAGCTTTCATGCTCACTGTGTCTTCTGACAAGCTTCTTTCTGAGTTGACATATGGTAATTTGTTAATGGCGTGTTTGCGTACAGTCATTAGCTCTGCCTTTCACCCCCATTTCCTAGGGCTAACAATAGTCCCAATTATGTCTGTAATTGTAAATGTATTACTTTTTCTTTTATGTAGCARTGATCGACTTATGGTTCTGTTAGTTGCCAGGGTTGCGTAAAATGAAAGACAATTCTTTTTAATGTCATTACTTGGTAGTGATTTGACTAGAGGCAGAGTATTCATCATCATTTCATGGCATGTCTTTGCTTGAATAGCGAAACGGTGTCTGAAGGAAAATAACATTTTTTAGAGTAAACCTGTCTATGATTTTGTTGTGTTCAGCAGCCCCGTGTTGTCTTGTTTTAATACATAATTCAAACTGAAAGTACTTTGATCTGAGTGATTTTGGCCAGCTGGCAATTGTTTTTCAACCTTTCAAATATGCATTAGTTGTAGATGAGCTACATGTATGTTTTCATTAACCGTTTGAACAAAAACGATTCATTCATTGGTTTAAAGAAAGCGCTGCAGCTCTGGTGTCTAATCAGCAAGACAGAACTTTTCTAACAAGAACCGTTTAATGTGTCAGGATGAAAGCTGGGATGTATCAAAGGTAGAGTAGTTTCAGTGATGTGTTAACATCGTGACACCTTTTTTTTAATTTTATTTTTGTAAATGGAACATGTGACTTCTCGTGCTTTTAAAAATCCTGTATTTGCAAATTTCTCTCGTAGGGTTTATTAGAAGCTGAAGGGTATGAACGAACAGCAGCAAAGAATGGCTGCAGTGGAAACGGACAAGGAACTCAGCGATCTCCTGGATTTCAGCGCGGTAAGAGAGTGGCAGAGCAGTCTGGGTGGTTCTGGGTGGAGAGAGAGTGCAATACAGGTCTGAGGGAGAGGGCAGCTCAAAGGTGGCGTTCTGGGACGGGGTGGGGGATAAAATGTAACTTTTTAAATCTGGTTCTAAGTCGACTGGTTACAGTATTGTCTGCATCGTCTCCAGATGTAGACTGAGGGAAAAGATTCTAGCATCCAGCGTCAAATATAAAACGTGAATCAGGAACAAGTGCAGGAAACAGTAGAAATAATTTCACCACTGTTTGATTTGTTAACTGGATCTTTAGGGAGCGTATAATCTGGGCTGAGCTGACAGCTTCTGCATTTGTTTTGTCATAATTTTGTCTTCAGGAAGGTATTTTCACATCGTTGCTCTCGGAGCGATCCTCCTGACATTATCTACAAAGTAGTTGGAGAACTTCTGCCCCGTTTTTTTTTTTTCCTTTTTTTTTTGTGTTTGATTTGTTGTGAATCCTTTTCCAGCTTAACACTGACATAAACCTCTCCTAGCCTCAGTGGAGATACGTTAGTCTTTTTGCCCAAACAAACTGAAAAGCAAATGTGGCTCCCCCCGGTTTTGTGTTATTAGCAGGCTTTTTCAACTGTTACGAGTATTTGTCAGAAGATGTGATGTTAAAAATATATTTTCTCAGATTTGAATTATTATTATTATTTTGTATACAAATAATTCAAATAATTTGTGCAACTGAGGCAGACTTTTTGTAGACCTCTGTTTTGTGWTTGGCACAGTGCAGCCAGTTGTTTTATGGTTTTGTGCTTAATTGAAAGTCCAGCCAATGACAGATTAAACATATCTTGCTGTGGGAGGAYGTTAGACGATAGTTTTTGTAAGAAGAACCCAAATTGATCAACTTTATTTGTATTATGGCATTGATCATTTGGTGAGGAACACAAACCAATTTCCTCCATGTTTACTTTCTTGCCGGTCATAGAAAAGCATCTGGCCTTGAACATGGAACAAAACATGTTTTGTAACGYGATAAATTTGTTTGAAGCAAATTGAGTGTTTAAAAAAACGGTCACRTTGGCGTTGTAGGTGTCTAAAACCCAGTTATATGCCATAGTGGCAAATTGCGTTATAGCGTCCTAGTTTAAAGGTGTTTTGTTTGTGCGTCAGATGTTTTAGTGTCGGTGAAAGATGCCACACAGCGGCTGTTGAGACCACACCATAACMTCGTGGTAAAGCCCACAGTGGCTTGGTGACATCAGTGTTAGTTGATGTACATACCACTGGTTTTAGGTATCTTAAGATGTTTGAAACGTTTAATTATGAAGTGCTTTGTTTAAGGAATAAATTAGCTTTGTGTTTGCAATAAGAAAATTATTTGAAAGGTTTTACTTTGAGCTTACCAATTGTATCTACATTTTTAAAAATCTAATTGTATCTTACTTTAGACTGACAGAACTCAAACGCCTGTAAGCAGTTTGTGTGAATGAGATGCATGTTGGTAGAAATGAAATGTGTGACATGTGCCTTCCTTGCCATGTTAGTTATATCTGTGTTTTTTCTTTTTTTTGTTGTTTTTTTTAGATGTTTGCACCCCCAGTAGCCAATGGAAAAAACAGGACAATGACCCTGGCCAGCACTCATTTCACTGCACCTGGTAAGAGTTTTTTTGGCTTCAAATTCAGTGTTTGGCTTTTGGGTTTTCAGTCCTGCATCATTGTGTCTCTGCTTTGCTTGTAAATGTGGCACATTAAATATATTACCTGTCGAGTTCACTGCCAAACCTGAGTGACAAAGGGCACATCTTCAGTCAAAACATATGTTGAAACAATTATGTGCAAGTGTTTACAAGGTTAATGCAACAGTGTTGGAATAAATTTTGTGCTATCTGCCTTTTAGACAGTTTCAGTTTTGTTTGTTCATGTTTTGAGATTTTACTGTTACCGTTTTATTGGTAACAACGGATGTTTTGATTAGTGGTGCTTAACTTGTTACGATGTTTAGTTTGAAAAAAGATCATACAAACATTGATATTTAGTAGTGACGCTGTAAAAGATGAGCTGCTAACAGCTTTCATTTGATCATTTTTCTGTATCAAAATGTTTTAATTTTTGTTTGTTTTTAACATAATTAAAAGTTTCAGTCAAAAGAACGTAGTTTTGTACTGCAGCTCATTTTTAGGCCTTTGCCTCACATTTTTGTAGTCTTCAAATGGCACTTAATAGAAAAGACACCCAGCCACATGAAAGCTTTGACTAAGTGTTTCCTTCTTTCTGGAAGTTATTAGTAATAAGGTGTTTTACTTTCGTTCTTCTTTAACTGTGCCAGCTCAGTGTGTGTTACTGAGGTTACACTTTTATACAGGTAATTCTGTGGTTGTTGAATCCGCTGTAGTTTCCATGCTGGGTCACAAGCCGGCAGTGTGATTTTTGTATATCAACAACATCCTATGTGTGCGACAGTCTCTTAAGCATGAAAATAATTACATTCAAAATGGTGAATAGGGCTGGTTATCATGGGCAATTCTCTAAATTGATTCAATTTTGATTCATAAGGTTCTGAATTGATTATTCATGATTCAAATCAATTTGGTTCTATCTGCTCTTAAATAATGAAAATTGTTCAACAGGATTGCAAAATACAAAYTCCCTTTATCTTTCCTCTTCATCATAAACAACAGTTTTTAAGGGCAAACTTGTAAATTGGACAGTTTAAAGATGAAACTAAACCGTCTCAAGTTTAATAGACTTATAATAAAAAAGAAACAGCAAGTGACAGTGTTGTTGGACGCATTCATGTTTAAAAATTAAGAATATTTTTTGATGAATGGGAAGTGATGGGGAATAAGGTTGCAGGAGAAGGGGTGGGCTATAAGTGTATTCTTCTATCCACTCCTTTTGAGCATACGAAGATYGTATATTTGTAATTTTTCTGTTATCTTCTGTTGTTGTGTTCAATAAAATCTATTTTAAAAATGATACAACTACATTTCATCAAGACGTTTCTTAAATTTAAAAAATAATATTTAACAAAACTGAATGATTTTGTTAGAACGTCGTCTTTCACACATTTCAAAATCTATAATTTTCCTTCATGGATCAATAAAGTATCATTCAGTCAGATGTTTACATACAGTAGTTTTGGTCCGAGCACCTGAAGGAGCCACTCGACACRTTCATTTTTCGCTACCACGTACTACGAGCGCAAATCTTCGCAAACAAAAGTTGCCATGGTTTCTGTTACCTTTTTAAGTTCCGAGGAGAGTCGGYGGGTAATGTTAGAGATTCCTTAAGGGCTCGACACACGGGAGGCAACGTCGCTTGCTCTCCATTCATTTCCTATGGAGCCTGTGCGGTGAGGCGACAATCGCTTGCCCTCCTCCAGCTAAGAGACCGGCGAAAATAGTGCATGTGAAATTTTGCGCTCGTACACGTAGACGTGCACATGCGAGCTTCCTACGCGACATATGAAAGTTGAAAAAGGTTAAACTTTCGTCGCTGTCGCTTAGCGTACAACCAATCAGCAAGGGTTTCATTGACTGACCAATGAGAGGAGAGTATACTACACACTGCAGTTAGCTAACACTTTCACCAAGTGATTACTAAAAAGCTTTGTGGAAATTTATTGGCACCAGGGTGAAGTTTATGGTAAGTTTTTCTCATAAAACTGTATCTTGATGTGAGTTTGTTTTTCAATATCATTAGTATCGCAAGATTTGTTTAGTTTACACGTCTGTAATGCACACCCCCTTTCAGAGTCAAGAACCAATTAAATTTCGTGAAGACAAGCGGCCTGAAAGAGCGCGATTCGCAACGCTGCGATCGCTATCGCGTCCCGTGTGTCGGGTTTCACCCTGGCTGCGATGACAGCCGTTAATCGCTGTAGTTTGTCGCTGCCCGTGTGTCGAGCCCTTAAGTTTTGTGTTATGTTTTGTTTTGCCCCAGACAACTTATCAGAAGCTAATGTTACCATTGAACGTCAACCAGATGTAAACATACAGCAAGCCAGAAGTGAGACAAAATATAGAATCACGCCTCAGCTTCATCACACACAAGACACCATGGGGAAAAATTGATTTTATGCCCTATGAATCAATTTTACCAAATTCAAATGAAATTGATCCAAGATCAATTAATTTTTTTTTTACCCAGCAGCCCTAATGGTGAATACATAGACATTTGTGTGGATCAGGGATGAGTTAGGGTTGCTCATGTGTTGAAATAGGCAAGCAGCACAAACAAAACTCTGCTATTCACCATTGGTACTGTGCTTATACTTGTGCAKAAAAACTATTGACTGCAGCCATCTGTACTGTGCACGAGTGATTTCACTCCTCCGTGTGGTGTTTCCCCAACACCCCCACTCTAAGACCTGAAGCTATTTTATAAAATGAGTTCTACGAAATGAGCGCACAGATAACTCCATTTTTATGGTTCCTCTGGCTGTTTATACAAAAACAATAGAGCCCATCACGTCCTGCGTAAACGTGAGCTTACAGAAATGAAGTGAGCTTTGTGGAACGTAGTACGTAGTACGTGGTAGCGAAAAATGAACGTGTCGAGTTGTAAATCAGAAAAAAAAACGTAACTCATTGATTGTGTGACGGCTGTCTCCACTGTATTATTTTTGGAACAACCTGAATAATTAACACAGTTTAGAGATTGTTTTTGTGGTTACCTATTTTTAAAAAAACTAAATGAAAGTTGCTATATTTCATCATTGATATTCTCTTCGTAATAAATCTGTTTGTTGATTAATCCCACAACTGGCTAGTCACACTATTATTGATCCAWGACACAGGCTCACTTTTTCACGTTGGCCTTTTCACTTCTGTTACTACCTAYTTTCAGGCTCTGCAACAAGACACCTTAGTCTGGGACTCATTGCGCCATCCGTTTACATYGCATTCTGGGAACTGGTAAATGGTCGTGACGTCATTTCCCAACAAACCATATGAAACTACATTCCAGTTAACCGACAGGCGATTGTATTGTTGCCGCTAACCTAGCTACAACACTGCTACAATGTAAACAATGACAAAAAGAGAGCTCTACTACGTACGTCTTGCAAATAAACCTTGATTTTAACACRTACAGCATTGCACAGAAAACACACTACTTGTGCGAGTGATTAAACATGCACAAAAAATTAAGAAAGATAATTAACAGTAAAAGTTAAGGAGTTAACTTTCTAAAGCTGCGATTAGCCGCCATCTTGAAATTGAAACTGGGGGCAGTTTCATTTCTTCCACTTTACGAGTGGAACATTATCACTGGAGGGGGCGTTCCAGTTTAAATCTACCAATGGGAACTGGGAAATTACCACTTCCCAGGACTACTGGAACGCAGCATTAAGCAAGGCAGCAAGGGTGGTCGAAGTCAGCCCACCCCTGATGCTCCTCTGTGCCAGAGAAGGCTCTTTTAGACAACAGTGCTGCTAAATAGGCGAACAGCCCRTACTGTGTTGACGCTCCCTGTAGAAGTTCAGAAGTCGCGGACAGAGACGCCCCTTTACTGTGTTCAAGTGCGCAAACAGTGTGAGCTTAACAGAGGCGTGAAAAAAGAAAACACATCAGCTCTGACGTGTTGCTGTAACTCAAGCTCCTGATGAGTTGAAGGACTCTTGCCCTTTTATTATATAGTAGTGATCAAAATATGATTTTTTAAAAGGTTTTAAGTTTCAAAATAATCTGTCTTACCACAGTTGTTTTAAGTTTCAAAATAATCTGTCTTACCACAGTTGTATAAGTGCTGCATAATTTTAGCCAGTCTTTGTGCCGAAAATTTTGAGTCGGCATTTACCGCTTGTCACTACCTCGCTCGGAGGCTCAGAGGCAGGGTGTCTCCGTCCTGTTTTCTGAATGGATGGAGGTGGTCAGAACACTTGTTAATAATGGTACGAGGCGTCTTCTGAAAGAGCCTAGAGTGTGACAGTGACCGGGGCGAAATGGTCAACATGCGACAACATAAACTAGTGCTGTGGCTCACTATTGCAATGAAGTGATGACATCTGGTCTGTGTGACCAAAAGGCTGTGTGATTTAACAACAAACAAATACAAAAAACTGATTTATTACCAAAGATAAATCAATGATGATGCTCAGCAACTTTTTTTTTAGTTTAAAACAATAGTTAAGCACAAAGAAAGTCTCTAAGCTGAGTTATTTCATCATGTTTTAAAGCTGAAATGAAGATGTCCGTCACACGTTTAATAGGATTGCATCAACACAGCTGAGTTCTGCTGCATGCCACTTTGGTTCTGTGAAGCGCTCTTAATTTCTGAAAGCTCATGTCTGTGCGGGATGTGGCCAACCCCATCTGTGATTTATGAATGGACTGAAGGCGCTTAAAGTCTGGTCTATGAGCTCATTTAGTGAAACCGTTTCATGAAAGAG